CTACAAAACAGTATCAATTTGGCCTACAAGCAGTTCTTTTGGTGGCTACAAAACAGTATCAATTTGGCCTACAAGCAGATCTTTTGGTGGCTACAAAAATGTATCAATTTGGCCTACAAGCAGATCTTTTGGTAGCTACAAAACAGTATCCATTTGGCCTACAAGCAGATCTTTTGGTAGCTACAAAAAAGTATCAATTTGGCCTACAAGCAGATCTTTTGGTAACTACAAAAAAGTATCAATTTGGCCTACAAGCGCTTTTGGTAGCTACAAAAAAGTATCAATTTGGCCTACAAGCAGATCTTTTGGTAGCTACAAAACAGTATCAATTTGGCCTACAAGCAGATCTTTTGGTAGCTACAAAAAAGTATCAATTTGGCCTACAAGCAGATCTTTTGGTAGCTACAAAACAGTATCAATTTGGCCTACAAGCAGATCTTTTGGTAGCTACAAAAAAGTATCAATTTGGCCTACAAGCAGATCTTTTGGTAGCTAGAAAAAAGTATCAATTTGGCCTACAAGCAGATCTTTTGGTAGCTAGAAAACAGTATCAATTTGGCCGGACAGTATCTAATACACCGGCAATTGGATGACGAAAAAAACATACAAGTAGAAAAAAAACTATAAAATCGCCTGAACACACGTCAGTAAAATGCCAACATCTAAACCCCTTCAGAAGAGTGCAATTGAGACTTGAGACTTCAGGCAAGGAGATGATATAGAAATTGAATAAACATAGCTCCTTGACGTTATACCTCCTTAATGGAGTCTTGTCTAATACTGTATAGAATACCAAGGTATTAAACCGTTTTATTCCCCAACAAATTATGAAACTGCAATGGTCACAAGATGTGACGAAAAATGTTACATGTAACATGTGTTTAAAGGAGTGGTTTTGTTATGAAAATCAAGTAAAAATATTTAAAAGAACATCAAAGTAGAATTCCTTATGCTGCCCCCCTCCCCCCAGAAGGAGTTAAAGTGGACTTGCCCAACTTTCTTGTCTGTAGACGTGGGCGTACGTAGGAGTGGGAGTTGGTAGACTATGCATGTAAGATGAACCAGGTTCATTTTCACACCCACACTTTTATTACCTCCATAAAACATGGAAAATATCAATGTATTGAGCATGCCTTAAAATCATCATACTGCATTGGTCTCAAGACTTGACGGAAAATCTGTTAAAGGTATCAAAAGATGTGTGGAGAGAAATAGTCTCGTTATGAAAATCAAATAAGAACATGTCTTTTAATGTAGAATTCCCCATGCTGCCCCCCCCCCAAGGGGTTGAAGTGGACTTGCCCAACTGTTTTGTCTGTAGACGTGGGGGAGGTGTGGGAGCTGGTAGACCATGCATGTATGATGAACCAGGTTCATTTTCACACCCACACTTTTATTACCTCCATAAAACATGGTAGATATCAATGTATTGAACATTTTTAATACCTTATCACCCTGCTGCCATGGTTACAAGACTTGACGAAAAATCTGCTCAAGGTTTTAAATGTAACATTCTGTAGAGAAATGGCTTTATAATGAAAAGCAAGTAGAATATGGCAAAGAATTTAGAATTGTCCATGCTGCCACTCCCCTGGAAGGAGTTAAAGTGGACTTGCCCAACTGTTTTGTCTGTAGACGCGGGTGTAGATGTGGGGGCTGGTAGACTTTGCATATATGATGAACCAGGTTCATTTTCACGCCCACGGGTTGCTTTTATTACCTCCATAAAACATGGACAATATCAATGTATTGAACTTTTCAATTCCTTAAAATCATCATACTGCATTGGTCACAAGACTTGACGAAAAATCTGTTAAAGGTGTTAAAAGATGTGTGAAGAGAAATAGTTTCGTAATGAAAAGCAAGTAGAATATGTCGAAGAATTTAGAATTGTCCATGCTGCCACTCCCCTGGGAGGAGTTAAAGTGGACTTGCCCAACTGTTGACGTGGGTGTAGATTTGAGAACTGGTAGACTATGCATATATGATGAACCAGGTTCATTTTCACACCCACATGTTGCTTTTATTACCTCCATGAAAAATGGAGGTTTTGTTTTTGATGTGTCTGTGTGCCCTCTATGAAAAATAAAATGGAGGTATTGTTTTGGCGTGTCTCTTTGTGCGTGTGTATGTGTGTGTGTGTGTGTGTGTGTTGTGTGTTAGTGTTTTCCGAACATTTGTAGTAAGCATAACATTTGTAGTAAGATTAAAGTAAAAATAAGTCGTTGTGGCCTAGCTGGCTTGATGAAGTCTCCCGCATGAAATAGCGATCCAAACAAATGACAATACTACTGGCAGCTTTATTACACAGATAAAATGAGATACTAGTACATGTATGTAATTATGCTTAACCCTAAACAGTACACCTGGGGTCCGCGCGGACCCCAGCACTATATATTCTGTAATATCTTTTTTGTTTCTAAAGATTTTTTTCTGAAATTTTAGGTAATTGTCACCCACAAAATTGTCTCTCAATACAGTGCAGAAAACTCCGTTTCTACAATTTATAAAAAAAAATTATATCTGATTTTCTTTTGGGGTCCGCGCGGACCCCAGCCGGCTTTCGATCATAATGGATACACTGACGTTCTTATACATTACCTTATTTCCGTTTTTATATGTTTTTATGCACTCATCGTATGTCTACCAAGTTTTCAGAGAATGGTGTAGTAATAGAATTAAATTTCAATAACTTTGGTGCAATTATGACGTCATATGACGTCAGAGCTAATAATATAGTCCGCCATATTTGGTTTTGACCAATGACGGCATCAAATTAGCATATTCTATGCATATTAAATGATTTAACTTATATTTAATTATGTAAGATGTTATTAGTGTTGGAAAAGAAGTGTAATCTAATATAAAACCCAGAAAATTTTTATGTTTAAACCAAAATTACTTCTATTTTAAAAAAAAACTGCGTGCTAGAAACCCGTTGCCATGGCAACACAAAAAACATCAACTTACTAGTATTAAACTAATATGAACTTTTTTCCAGAGACATTTTAGGAAAGGTCTCCAAATTTGATACTTCTAGCGCAAGCCGTTTAGCCGCTATCTGAGATCAAAGTTGGGCCTCAAAAGCCCCTTCAGTCTGAAATGGGTTTAAAATTGGGTATTTCTTCGTCTTCTTTTCTTCACCAAAAATAGAAAAAGTTCAAAATGTATGATTTTTGTATGTAATGTGGACACAGAGGTTCCCACATCAGTTTGACATCAAAACACATCAAAACAATTGACCTGGTAGCATGTTGATAATTTCTAAAAATTAGCAAAAACTGTTCTGGGGTCCGCGCGGACCTCAGGTGTACAGATTAATCAGTCCGGGAAGGTGTACTGTTGAGGGTTAAGCCTAAATATTCATGTTAAGTGTAAAGTGTGAACGTTGAAAGACATTAGGGTAACATTAGTTTGAAACAAAATTTCAACGTGATTGTTGTGTGTATTGATCTATACGTGTGAGCTGCATTGAAAGTTGATGAATAGTTGAGACAAAGATAATATCAAGCAGGTTAATATTGCTTCCAAAAAAGTTATCACTGGAATGGTTATGTTAGTATATAACTTTCTGATTCGTCTAAAGCTAGCATTCTGGTCTTAGTGTTAACGAATTATATCAGGCGTTTCCAAATCATGCAATTGGTTATACTATTAGTATTTGCTAAGGATTTAGGGTAAGTATGAGTTTTTGTAAATGTTTTTACACAGTACACTACAGTACAGAACAAAATAACACAGGTTTTTGTTTTCAAATCTTTGGCCTGAAATAGGTCAGGCTGTAATAGATATGGTCAACTGTACATGTACAAGTAGCCTTTTCCAGAGGGAGAACCTCATTAATCAGGCGCGCTGCTTCCACACGTGTGCTGGTGTTTTGTTGCATAACCCGCACATCTGTTTTCCCTGTCTTGCAAAAAGGCACTTGCTGCAGTACAAAGGTCAGCCACCAGGGGGCCCATATTTGACCTACCAGCATATCAAATATCATTACCATCCATAAAGGCGTTCTGACGTTATGCTGACTACAAATGTGCGGAAACACACACACTCACACACACACACACACACACACACACACACACACACACAATACCTCCATTTTTCATGGAGGTAATAACACAGGTTTTTTGTTTTCAAACACACAGTAGCACCTTTGTCCTGGATATGGTCGTGTAGGCTTTTCCCGAGGGAGAAACTCATTAATCAACCCGGGCAGGCGCTGCCTCCACCCCGCACATCTGTTTTCCCTGCCACCCCGCACATCTGTTTTCCCGGAAGTTCTGCTGCAGTACCAAGGTCAGTCACCAGGGGGCCCATATTTGACCTTGACCTTTGTCTTCCTAAGACCTAACAGCATATCAAATATCATTACCATCCATAAAGGTGCTCTGAAGTTATGCTGACTACAAATGTGCGGAAACACACACACACACACACACACACACACACACAGACAGACAGACGCGCCAAAAACAATACCTCCATTTTTCATGGAGGTAACAACAACATACCTGATTAGTGGTGTGGACTGCTGAATAACCAACATGTTAGGCACATCCTTACAACAAGTGGGGAGGGCAACTTGTCATGGGGGAGGGCAACTTGTTTTGCCCTCCCTTTCACTTTGTGAAAAATCAAAATAAACAAATAAACAAATAAAGTGGACCTGTGCGTGGATCTAGAGCTGGAGGGTTGGCTGGACATACAGGGCCAGGCGGCTAATAGGACCCTATAAACTGAGGTGGTTCGTTATAGCTGGAAATCTACTCTATCAATACATGTACGGGGTAAGGGTGTGTGAGACCAAGGTTAGACCAGATAGTCTTATTTTGTCACATATACTTTCAAGTCCCTTTGAAAAAAATCCACCAACTTTTTTTCACTTTATTTCTATTTTTGTATTCAATAAAACAAACAAAATGTTTAGATTTACGTACTAAATTTCATCATTAACGCACCTTTAATACATACATACATACATACAGTACAATAAAGTATTAGTAGACCCATACCGATACTGCATACGTTGCGTGCAATTGTTAGTTATGCAATCAATACGGCATTTATAAATATCAGCTTACTACATAATGATGAAAAAAATCAAAATGACAGTATACACATTCTCGTACACGTCATTTTTCACAAAACACAACATACGACTTTACATTATTTCCTAATATGTTTCATACTATCATGGAAAGCGTCTAATTTATTTATGTAGCATGAATTATCTTTTTTTCTAAAAAAAGTGACACGTCGTAGTGCATGACATAATTAATTAAGGATCGAAACAAGTCTCTAATTATGTTGATTTTTTAGAAAATGAAAATATTAGTTTCAATAATTAAATTAATAACTACTTACAAATCCGAACTTTGTTGTTTACAAGAAGCGCTATATATACCACAACTTAACTTAAATCAATAAATGATACAGGTTTGTATATACGACTAATAGACAGCTACATGCCAATTTTAGTAGTCGTTTTGGTATATGGTTTTTCAGTGTAGTTATATGACTGATGCTTCTTCTTATCACCTGGCTGGCCAGTACACGGCGTCTTGGGCATTTTATTTTTATTTTGTGAATATATGTTGCATTATAAGTTGACTTTTGAGGCATACAATTACTCTTCCTAGCATAGCGGCAGGTGACACCCGTCTTCCAAGCTTTGTAGGCTGGCGACTTTGTCCGCAGCGGCAAACCAAACTGATCCGGTGAACCGCACTGGCTCGCCGCCTGGTGACCTGACGGACCCGCGGGAAGGGAGACAGGTGACCGCGTTCGAAACAGTCCAGGAGATGGGCTTTCATCTTGCTCTCGTTGTACCTGACCTGGGTCACATCCGTCCCCATCGCGATGTCTACAGCCCACGCTATGGCAAACAGTCCGCATGTACTTCCGCTTTCCTGCAGCTGCACACATGGTACTTTGACAGTCAGTACATCGGTGGCCATGTTGGAGACTGGCGCGTAGCACTGACTCAACTGGCTCTCCAACAATGCATGTATCCTACCGGGGATACTGTTATAAACACTGACATGTCCACCTATGGAGGATGAGAGTACCCAGTGGAATTGGCCGGTGTGGTGAATCTGTAGACCTTCTCCGGAGACCCGTGTGTATCCGTACGAAGACGCTCCTACTGTCGTATCTTGTAGTCCTCCCAATCCCGGATACTGACGGCGGAGTAACATCTGTGCGGCATGGATGTGTTTGTCTGTCAGCACCTCGTCACTAAGGAGTACAGCCTTGTCTTCAGCGGTGAGCTTTAGATCGGAGATCCACGTGTTTCCTGCAGGCTGCCGGGGTACCTTTTGCAAAGTCGGTTTAGTTGTAGCACGATTCACTCTAACAAGGATGTCCTCAATTTGCTTGGTCTGCACCCTTATCTCAGTTAGTAGGTGATGCTCTGTTATTCTTTTTCTGTTTTTCTCTTCTTCCTCAAATTCTTGCTCCAGGATTTGGATTTCAGTGTCAATATCAAAAGTATCTACATTAGTACCAATTGGCCTTTGGATGCTGTGGTTATCATTTTGAATGCCCGTGGTACTTTAGTGACTTTCGTCGACAATTATTGGTCATTTCTCATCTTCCTGGGTGATTTTGTCAGTCGTCACCTGCTTCCGTGAAGGCAGGATGGAGTTACAGATGTCCAGACCTTCATCAAGTTTCTCCTGAATGATGACTATGTTGGCCTCCAGTCCTTTCATATTCAGTTCACCTTTACAAGAGTTAAGAACATGTTTAGCATTTGTCAATCACTTTAGGAATCTTAAAATTTCATTTGTGTAATAAACATGATTTAGAATATTTCAAAGTTTTTTTTCATGATTTTGTACTCATCATAAATGTAAGAGATGTAAGAAGTTTTAGTTGATGAATTGGAAGTACTATTTTGGTTGGCACTTGACTGGAGGCTTAATCTTTTTTGGCCTCAACATCAAAAGATTGGGTGTCATTTGATTGACAGGGCTGTGCAATATTTCCACTTATGGGTTTTGAACTTACCCGGTTTATTTTCCTTATCCGGCGTGCTGTGAAACCCTAACATGGCCCGGAAGCTCCTCCAGATGTACTCTCCAAGCTCTTGGTCATGGCTGACGTCAACGTCAGCGGAAATGGCGTCACAGACGATGGTCATGAGGAAGTTCATCAGGAGGATGAAGATGCAGATCATGAAGGAAGAGAAGAAGATCGGCCCGGTGAGAGGGTTGGAGTCCAACATGTCCTGCGCGAAGAACCTAGAATCATAACATACAGGGATTCATTGCAAGACAATGCCTTTCATGGAACCACCTGCTTAGGCGTTATACAATGTGTTTCTTTATCAAATGGTCATTACATACGTCTTAGTGAAACTAACCTGCCAAGCATCATCTCGAAGAGTGCAAACGTTGTGTGGTACAGGTCTGCGTAAGGTTCCATGTGGCTTCCGAATATGAGGTGTGCTGAAATCAGAGACAGGCAAATTAGGCGTTAACATCAAACATCGTACAGTGAGCCTGAACAAATTCTAAACATAATTTGTAGTTTAACGACGAGGATTCTAACCTGCAATCATTATTGGAATTGTGGATTGCTTAAGGTTAAACCAAACTATACTAGATATTTACCCGAGCTGATGAAGGCGATAAAGGCGATGGCAGCAACAACCAAGAACGACAAGAGCTCCTCCTTCATGATGCCGGGAAGAGCCAGGAGTTTGCCGATTGTTTGACTGAAGCGGACGACGCGAAGTAGGGATATGGTGTTAATGAAGACAACAAGACCCAGGATGTGTTTAAAACATGCATCCCACCATGCAGCGATTTGCAGGTCAACAAAGCGTTCAAACCCCAGATCACCTGGAAAACCAAAAACCAAAATCAACAATTAACAATTTAATTCAAATAATCAACTGTAATGTATCATATGAATGTTTAACATACCTAAAATTCCATTCTAGTAAGATTTTTTGCTGAGTAAGTTGTTTCTTAAAAAATTCCACCAAAAGATTTTTAGGGTTATCCAACTACAATTGACATGTAAGCGTACCGTTACTTTTGGCCACCACTGCAAGTGTTTCCGATGCCACCACATATCGCTTGATGAAGACGGAGATTGTTGTAGCTGTACCGATGAGGCTAACACATCCGAGGGCATTCCATTTTGAGGTGAAATATTTCCATCCAATCTTTACCATTACTTTCAGTTCGTTACAAAATATGGCGAAGAACAGTAGTGTGAATAGGATGTGCATGAACAAGTCGACATAGTCAGCATTACTTTCGTACTGAAACAATCTGAATGAAGTGATTGTTGATGTTGGTATGAGATGCCCTACTCCGGAACGGTTTATAATCATGTTCACAACACTGAAAAGCTTTAGGCTGGGATTGTAGAAGTTTATGACGATTGTAACGGATTTTGTGTACTTGTCGAAAAACTGGTTGTCTTTCAAGACACCAAAGAATGATACAGCGGAGTCATGATTCAAGGGAACGTCAAATGAATGGTGATTTGTGCATTCGGGTGTGCCATTTGGATAAGAGAACACGTCTGTGACATTAAATCGCCAACAGTTACCAGACACGCTCCAGCCGATGTTAGCGACAGACGTGGAACCTGCAGTGATGGACATAATAAACATTTATTTTTGACTATAGTATGTACTCAATTGTATTGTGGACATGAAAAATCTGACCACAATAAAAACGAAACAGTTTCGATGTTAAACAGTATTTCAAATATCTCAAACACAAAGAAGGAAGAAGTAAATTTCTCCAGACGTACCTGGAAGTTGTCTAACTTGTGTCAGACGTGGAGGACCGAGACGGAAGGATCCCGTGTTGTGTGCAAACTGTCGGTCTAAGTACTTCATGTCCCTTCCGTTGTACCAGGTAGCTGGGTAAAGGGTCGGCAGCAGGACGTCCTCAGTCCACGCGTAAACCTGGTCCGGAGTTTTAATCTATTGCCGAAATGTATAATTATAATTAGTACATTGTTATCAGGTAGGAGTAAAAAAATGAAAGAAAGTGAAAATTATCTTAAACCAGTTCAGCGCACTTCAACAACAGCCAGGTTTGCAACTCTTGCTAATTTTAGGTTACTGAACTACGTACGCTACTTAGCTTGAACATGTGACAGCAAATGCCTTTGCATATATGAACACTTTTCCTTATATTCTTTACTTACCGCATCATATTCTTGCAGAATGTTGTTCGACAAGGACTGTGTCTCATAAAAGGCATGTTGGTCTTTATCCGCCTGGGCGATGTAGAAGAGGAGCACCACGAAGATAAACAAGAGAAGAAACTCCTTCAGTACTGAGGCTGACTTCTTATTTAGTTCCTTCTTGTTTCTAGCCGATTTCACATCAGGCTTGGCAGGTGGATAGACCTTTTTCGGTGCTGTAGAGGAAAATGTATAATTTTACAAAAATTTGGCACAATCAAAAAATAACATAACATACACAATATTGAAGTTGATAAAACTGTAGAAAAACCAAACTTTCTAACGTGTTACGTCATATCCGTGTAATACTGAATTTGATACTGAATTTTTGCCTGTAGAAAACAAGAAGCATTAAAAGTGCAGACAACATATTGAGAGAAATCAGTCACCGGGGTTCAAAAATTAACGTTTTAAATTTCGAACCTTTAGAGTTCCACAGGTTCAGCTGCAGGTCTTCCTTCAGAATAACTGGCGGCTTGGTGAGGAAAGGGAGGCTAAAGATGGCGGCCAGACCCACAGCAAGGACAAAGATCTACGGGGAATAGAGTTAAATATTTACCTCTTGTGCCTTGCATGGATATCGTCTTGTTCATTTTTTTAATTTTTTAAAAATCTTTTTCAATTTTTCAATTGAGCCTGTTCGGCCCAGGTCGATGAGGTCCCGGGTTCAAATCCTGCCCGGTGTCACTGATCTTGTGCCTTTGGAAAAGGCACTTTACACGACTTTTCTGTCTTCAACCAGGTGTAAAAAAAGTACCTAACTTCGGTTAGGGACGTCCCTCAGATTTGACGTTAAATGTAGATCCCGTGTTTGGGATAGCCACTCTCCACGCACGTTAAAAGAACCCACCACACTTATCGAAAAGAGTAGGGGACCTTCCCGGTGTGAGTAGTTCAAACCTCACAGTCTGGTCTCAGGTTTGACATCTTGAAGAGGTGATAGTCACCTGTTATGCTAATCCTTCCACAAATTTGGTAAATCTTCATAAAATAAAAAGTAAAATAAACTGAAAAATAAAAAATGATAATTTTGTAAAAAGAGACCCGTTCTTTATCAAAAGCCTTAAGATTCTCCGTACTATATCATTATCTTAAGTACGTGTCACCTGGAGAGTGTCCATTACACAACTGGACCCCATGAAGGACAGAACAAAGGCCTTCATCCAGGCGTCACTTTTCTCCTTCCCCCAGTCCATACTGTACAGGAGGACGAAGAACGCAGAACTGGTGGACACCAGGAACACGGTCATCCACGCCATGTACTTGGCCAGGTGGAATGTTTTCTTCAAATACCCTAATAGTCAACATATATGTTTAGAAGACAATGTGAAGGGATACTGTTAACTACGTAGCTGGCTCTGTAACTTAAATTTACATAATGTTATAATCAACAGTATTAGAGTTATTCTATTGTTACAACAGCTGCTCTCCTCACATGTATATTTCCCTTGTTCACTTACCAACAGTTTTCAGAAGTTCAAGCTGCGAAAATTTTTTTTTTCTTTCTAAAAAAACTGTCACTTGGCTCGGTTATAATGACAAGTAAGTTGTATACCATAACACTAGATTTTAAAAGTAAAAACACAAACAAGCGTTGACATGATGAAAATTAATCCATATTATATAGTTTTGCTATTACTGCTCCATTTCCATACCTTTTTTGGACGGCCGGATGGACATCTCCGGAGAGTTAACGGACAGTGGCGCCTCCATGCGGAACAACTGCAGAAGTACCAAATTGACTGGCAGCACCGTCAGGACAGTCATGAGGCTGATGTACAGCTCCTATTAAATTGTAATTAACACATAATGAGGCTCTGAAAACAGATTACATAAAGTAAAGTAAAGTAAAGTAAAGTAAAGTAAAGTAAAGTAAAGTAAAGTAAAGTAAAGTAAAGTAAAGTAAAGTAAAGCTAAAATATAAGGTCAACGGAGGAACATTACCTGTATGGTGAAACGAACAAACCCCAGGTTCAACACTCTGGTGTCGGCAGTTGTGTTTTCTGCCTTGTACCACATGGCGCTGGATAACATCATGGTGTTCAGTAGAGTAAAGCAGCAAGACAGACGCTGGGCCTTGGTGAAGATTGAACCTACTCCGGAAACAAACAAAAAATGAGTATAGTGTAATCCACGTTTTTAAAATTGCTTTTTTTGTGAAATACATTAAAATTATTGTTCAGATTTTTATGACAGAGAACAGCCCCATTGTTGTCACCTTATCATTTCATATGAATATTTCTATTGATTTGAATAATCATACATTTTATGTTCCAATGTATCTATTAACATTTGTTTTAACACGGCCCTTAGAAAAGGTATTGTGGTCTCCACCCTATGCTGCATGCCACATCTGGTACAAATTCTGTAGCACCTGGGTTCGCCTCGTGTCTGGACACGACTTAAAAACAGT